GCGTGTAAAGACTCGCCACCTGGCTTCCTGATTAGCAGGGAAGCCATCTATATGCTTCCTCGTCACCAGATGATGAGGGAGCATGAAGCCGGCTTCCTGGCCAATCGGTATTTGGGTGAGTACTCGCCCAAATGCTCCGATGCCTAGCCAGATACTTGAGTTTCCAGTACCAGGAAGCCGGGCAGCGTGTAATGACTCACTGCCCAACTTCCTGATTGGCCGGGAAGCCGGCTTCATGCTCCCTCATCACCAGGTGATGAGGGAGCATGGAGCCGACTTCTCGGCCGATCGGGAAGCTGAGCACCGTGTAATTACACGGCACCTGGCATCCTGATTGGACAGAAAGCCGGCCATTGCACAGAAAGCTGGCCAATCGGGAAGATGGGCAGCGTGTAATGACTCGCTGCCCGGCTTCCTGATACTGGAACGCAAGTATCGGGCAAGGCATTTGGGCAAGTTTGAGTACTCGCCCAAATACTCTGCATTGGCACAGATACCTATACAAGTATCGGTGCATATCTATTGGCAACGCTTCTCATTATCGATTAGTTGGTTGCAGCCCTAATGTATACGTCATGTAAACAATGTTATGCTCCTGATGACATGTCAGTACTACATTTCCTTGTAACTGTCATTTCACCACCAACATAGTTCTTGGATTTTTGAAGCTTTATTGTGGTCCCATAAAGTTTAGGGCTCGAACAGAGTGCTGTTAATGACAATAAAATACAGTCCAGGACCTAAATTGATCTGCTTCAGACATTTGGATATTATTACAAAGTGCCCTGTAGCACAATGTAACCACTCTGCATATGGGAAATAATAGCAAGTTCTTGCTCTAGCTCCAAAGCCCATCTTGGGAAGAATAGATCTGATCCAACTGTGCTTTACTTCCCCCTGTAGTAACAGAAAACTGATGATCTTTTGGTTGCGTATAAGATGCCAGAGTAATAAAGCAGTAATTGCAGTAATGTAAAAAATACAATTAATTGTTATGTTTGTGCTCGGAATCCTTTATCAGTCATGTTTTGGGGTAAAATGCTTGGGCTGCACTAATTTCATAAAAGTAACAATGGGAGAAATTATTCAAAAATTTCTTGTCTAATGCCTCCTAATTGAAAGATATAAAATTAATATAAATGTATATTCAAGTCTAAACTGAAGCCCAGTTTGTCCACCAAAAATGAATTCCATGTTAGGATAGACTAGTACAGGGGTCGGCAACCCCCGGCACGCGTGCCCAGCCTGGCACGCAAGCCCTTGTCTGATGGCACGCGAACTTACTCTTTACTGTTTGGAATTGACAGCTCTCTCGAGCCAGGTGTCAATTACAAGCTTGGCCCACCCACCTCCCTGACGTAGCTGCAGCCCATAGGTTCGTTGTGGATCTAGCTCTGTCCCTGTTCCTGCCTTGCGGCTCCCTGATTTCCCAGCCCGCCGGGAGGGACCCGGATCTGCACCTGCCCGATGCGCAGATTCTGTTCCCCGCTCAACACGTGGATATTCCCAGTCAGTTCAATTTGTTGTCCTCAATGATCAGCTTAATCTGCCCAGAAAACCTTGTTGTAAAACATGTCTCCGTTCTTCAGGGGTTCTGTGGGGGAGATTCCGGAGTTGCCTCGTCTGTAAGTAAATCCCACACTATAGAAATCCTGATTGTTGCTGATCCAATATACAAGCAATTGCAGCCAGCTGCCTCTTTGTGTCTGTGGAGGATGTCCATGGAGTATATCAGTCTCACACAATGCTCCAGGTATTGCTACAATATCTTCTAGTGATTTTACAGAATGATTATGCAATTAAAGATCTGTGCCTCTCCAGCATAATGTGATGATGGCCAGCAAGTGGATAAATCGCTAAGTAGCCAATGACTAAAGTCGCACATGTGGCTCTAGACTAGGAGTAATCAGTCTGTGGGTCCAGGGTGCTGTGTTGGGTCCAGGCAGGGGCGTATCTGCCGCGAGGCAAACAAGGCGTTTGCTTCGGGCGGCAGATTCCAGGGGGGCAGCAAAAATGCCACCCCCAAAACATTTAGGCAGCCGTGCTGCACAGAAACCGGCAGCCTGGCTGCCTAATGTCTACGGGGAGGAAGCGGCG